AATATCACATTGGTTTTAAGGGTTAATCCTTTTCAGTGTATGGAAGGGGGCCGGTGAGATGGTTCAATAGGTAAAGGTGCTTGCTGCATGAGCCTGGTGACATAAGTTTGATCTCTGGAACCCACATAAAGGTGGACAGAAAGAACTGACTCCACAAAGTTTTCCTCACCTCCGTATGTGTCATAACAGGCACAGTCATACACATATACATCATACGTATACACAACACACAATAATAATAAAATTTACAAATTTTAAAGTATGGAAAGATGATTATACAAAAGCATGATTAGCAGGTGAAAACTGAGGCCATCCAGGAAGGCATGCTGCTCTGTCAGCTGAATGCCCTTCTCCTTCCCCCTGACCACCTCCCACCTACCTTTTCACATCCTTGCCAAATGCCCAGCCCTCAGTGACATCTCCCACATAATTCCTCACTTCCTTCTCTGTGTCTGCATAGAACTCTGTTCCACCTATAGTAGACATTGATTACCCTGCATTTCCCCCATGGTCCCCTGAGCTCCTGAGAGCAGCGACACTGAGACTTGACATCTGGCAGCTCCAGTTTATAAGAAGTATAGAGCACTGACATACCAAGTACTCCAACAGAGATTTTAAAATGAATACCCACCTGAGCATGGTGGTGCCCACCTGTAATCCCAGAACATAGGAGGCTGAGACGGGAGGATTGTCAGTTTAGGCCATGCTAAAGCTGGGTATGGTGGTGTATGCCTTTAATCCCAGCACCTGGGAGTCAGAGGCAGGCAGGTCTCTGTGAGAACGAGGCCAGCCTTGTCTACATAGCAAGTTCCAGGCCAGCTGGGGCTACAGGGAGACCCTATCTCAAAAAACTAAGAAAAAAAAGCATAAAACAGAAAATAAGGGTGGGTGAGGATGTGGAAAAATTGGTACCTTTGTGCATGGTCATTTGGGAATGCAAATGACCTGTGTGGAAAACAGCATAGTAGTTCCTCAAGAAAAATAAATTTGAATTGTCATGTAATCTAGCAATTCTACTTCTGGTTATATACCTAAAAGACTTGAAAGCAGGGTCTGAAGAGATATTTATATACTTATGTCCATAGCATTTTTTTTTTTTTTGTCTTTTTTGAGACAGGGTCTCCTTGTAGCCCCAGCTGTCCTGGAACTCACTATGTAGACCAGGCTGGCCTCAAACTCACAAAGATCCGCCTGCCTCTGCCTCCCAAGTGCTGGGATTAAAGGCGGGCACCACCACTCCCGGCATAGCATTATTTTCAACACTAGCCAAAAGTGGAAAAGCTCAGGAGCCTACCAACAGATGAATGGATATGTATGTAGTAAATGCATACTTAACGCTGGACTAGTTTTCAACCTTACGTGAGACTGTATCTCTTTTTTTTTTTGGTCTTCTTGAGACAGGGTCTCCCTATAGCCCCAGCTGTCCTGGAACTCACTATGTAGACCAGGCTGGCCTTGAACTCACAGAGATCAGATCGGAA